CAGTTAATCTCACGAGAGGTGATAGCCCATCTTTCTCCCACGGAGCAGCTGGTGGCCTTGAACCGTGTGCCTTCAGGTATATAAATGAATGTATTTGCTTTATGTACAAATATATATATGTAGGGATATCTGCCATCAATCTTATATATAAACATGGGCATACTCTAATTCTCTATCCCTGTTCATACCACCTATGTACTTTCTTGAACATTGTTGCTATTCTGTGCCATAGAATCAGAACCAACTCATATCTGACCCTCAAGCAGATTTTCAGAGGCTGTAAATCACACAGGAGGAGACTGCCTGTCTTTCTCTTGAGGAATCACTGGTGGGTTTTAACTGTAGATTCGCAGTGAAACTTCTTACCATTAGGCCACCAGAGCTCCCTCCTCATACATTGTTGGGTTAGGTGCCGTTGAGTCAAGTATGAATAACAGCGATCCTATGAACAATGGATCTGAACCTTATTCTATCCTGTAACATCCTTCTCATCTCTGACAAAATTGTGCAGTCACTGTGTCAGTCCACCTGGTTGAGGGTCTTCCTCTCCTTTGCTGTTCCTCCACCCTTCCAATCATGATGTCCCTCGCTAAGGAAAAACTTCTCCTAGCAACATGCCCAAAGTATGTGAGAGGATGCTTTATCATCTCTGTTTATTATGGTTGTTATAAGATTGTATGTGTAATTGTGTTTGCCACTGTTGCCTTTGACTCTTGGTATACATTTCAGAGTCTTCCTTTGCCTTTTTAATTTATTATTTTGGTCATTTGCAGCATCTCATTTTTTTTCTTTTGTCAGTTTGGCTGGTGGTTTGTCCCTTTTATTGATTTCTCAAAACAAACCACTTCAAATCAACTTCTAGTCCTGTTTATTCTTTCTGCTGGGTTTCTGTTTCATTTCTTTCTGCTTTAAGATTTATTTTCCTCCTTTTATTCTTGTAGCTGTGGGACTTTTTATTGCTGTATTTCTTTTTTTTAAACTTTCTTAAAATTAATTTTAATGAAAGTTTACAGAGACTTTGGATTTCCATTCATTCATTGTTGCACTTTTCTCCCTTCCCAACCTCCCCGCCTCCAGTTTGCTCTTCTCTTTGAAAAGTAAAAGAAAAACTCTTTTGTTGTTATACAAGCTCTCCCCCCAAGTCCACTCCACTACCGATTATTGCTGTATTTCGATTTGCTTGCATTCTAGAGTTAAGGCATTGATTTTAGTCTTTCTTCTTTTTTATTTTTCTTTGTCTTCCTTTTTAATGTGTCCTTTTATCACTATGAATTCTTTTTATTTGTTCCACAGTGGCATGTGTGTTGTGTATTATTTAAATTTTACTCTTTATTATTGTTGAGTCCTGTCAAGTCAGACTGACTCATAGCTGACCCTCCAGTGGATTTTCAAAGGCAGTAAGTCACACGGGAGGAGGTTACCTATCTCCCGTGGAGCAGATGGTGAATTCAACTGCATACCTTTGGCGTGGCAACACATTTCCTTACCATTCCACTAGAGTTCCCTATTTTATTCTGGGAATTAAACAATTTTGGTTTAAACTTCTTATTTTAATGAATTATCTGAGCATTACTTTTGCTGTGTCACACAGGAGGAGACTGCCCATCCTTCTCCCAAGTTGCTGATGGTAGACTTAAACTGCCAGAGAGGCTTTTAAGGACTCGTAGGTATATTAATGACTGAAAATGGAGGTTAGAAGCATGTTGTTGTTGTTGTCTGCTGTAGACTCAGAACCGACCCATAGCTGACCCTCTGAGGTAGTTAATTGCACAGGAAGAAATTGCCCATCCTTCTCCCAAAGTCATATGAAAAAAAGAATTCTTGTGGAAATCATATTTTTAATATTCAAATTCACAGACAGAAGAGTAGGGTAACTTTTGAGTAAGCTGTGATATAAGGATATATTGGCACCCCCTTAAAAAGCTACAGTGATGACCCACATTTGTATTACCTGGAAATATACATGGAAATTCACATACAATATAGACATATGAAAGAATAACAAATAATTTAAGTTGACAATGTAGAACTAAAAATAATACTGGTAACCACTAATTTAAACAATGAAAAATACATTCCTGTCAGGAAGTTAGGAAGGACTTTAGAATGTTGTAAAACTTCGTATTTTAAATTAAGTAGGTACTTTTTTTTTACTGTAAATTTGCAGAAATCATGGTTTCAAAGGTAGACTGAAAGCTTCCTTGCATGTGAATTTAATAAAGAAGTGATAGTATATTTAACATCAAAGTGTTCTCCAAAGGAATGATGCTACAGGGTCTCATATAGCATTTAAGCATCCTTGCCTCTAAGGAGCAGTGTGGCTGCAAGGATGGTGAAACTTCTCGCTTACTTTGGGCATGGTTTTAGGAAGAACCAGTTCTTGAAGAGAGATGTCATGTTGGAAAAGGTGGAGGGTCAGCAAAAGAGAAAAAGGCCCTGTATGAGATGGGCTGACACAATGACTACGCTACCACAATAAACTGAAGCAAATTATTAATGCACTGAGCTAACGGAAAGGCTGGAGGTTCAAGCCTACCCAGAGTCATCTCAGAAGAAAGGCTTGGCTAGTTACTTCTGAAAAAGAAGAGACTGTGAGATTGTCCAGGATAAGGCAAGGTTCAGGTATGTTGTAATCACTTTGATGGCACCTAACAACAACAACAACAACAACAACAACAACAACTTTTCAATGTAGGTCATAAATAATTTCTTACCAGCAGTTCTTAAAGGTGAACTTACTTTGCTGCTGCTATTCAGCTTTCATTTTAACAAGATCTATTGCAACAAAAGCTAACAGTTATTAACAACATACTATATAGGGAATTAGCATTTACATGCTTATATGCATATTGCAGATAAAGATTACAATCAGTTCTGTATAAACATTATCACATTTACACTTGTTCACAACACAGTGAGGTAGATTCTACTAGCTTTGAGAAATTATGTAATTTTCCAAGGACACACTATTTCTAAGTGACAAGGTCAAGTTAACTCTGACTGTAGAGGCTACCATGATCCATGCAACCTGCCACTTTGCTACATTACATTTTCTTGTCAGAATATAGTGTTTAATGTAAGATGAGTAGAAAGGAGGTGAGCTGAGTATCAGTAATAAACGTCCACATGAGATACTATTGTCTGCACTAATTGCAATATATGAATATATGTCACTGCAGTATGCAACCAGATATTTAACAGAAAATAAAGACACACATGCACACACACACACACACACACATACACACACACACACACACATCACCTTGTAGTAGTATTCTGAATGCTTTTTTTTAATTCTGAGTACTTTTGACTTATGTTGTTGGCACAGAACACTTCCAGAAGAATGAATTAATGTGCCTTTGTAGAAGGACAGCCGGAATGCTCCTTAGAAATGACAATTGTGAGACTTACTATGAAAATATAATTAGAAATAATGATTTCCTGAAGAAGAACATATGCTTGGTGGAGAGTTGATGAAAAAGAAGACTTCAAATGAGACAGATTAACACACAGTAACTGCAACAACAGGCTCAAACATAGCAACAATTGTGAGGATGGAACAAGATAAGGCAGCAGTTCATTCTGTTGTATATAAAGCTTCTTCAAGTCAGAACACTCAACAACAGCACAAGTACTTGCTTTTTTATGAAAATTAATTATATGGCTGTATCTTATCGTATAGATTTTTGCCACATTTTTTTAACTGACATAGGCTTTTAAGCTTGTTCTTGTGTTATCTATCATTAATACCAATATATTATAAAAATATTAACTTGAGGTGTTGGGCTGAGATTCTCCCAGGGTCTCAAAGGACTGATTTCAGCTACACACACACACACACACACACACACACACACACACACACATATACTTGAGTTAATCTTAGGGGAATATGGGATAGTATGAGCTAAGAGTTGAATTAAAAATTATGAAGTGTTTAGTTATGAACTGATTAGTTTTGTATTATGGGATTAATACTTTAAATTTTATTACGTAGGCAGTACAAAACCTCTATTATTGCTGATGGAAATAGTAGTGATGGTATTTTATTCTATGACAATCTGTGATGTGAAGAATGGCTGCAATGTGGACAGAAAGAAAAAGAATGTAAAAATAATTTTATACCAAAAATATGAAAAAGACTTGGAAACAATTGTTACCAAAAAAAAGAGAATGATCTCCACATGTGAAGTTTAAGATGGCAGGAGACTGTGGGTTTAGGCACTTGGTGAAACATTGCAGTAAGTTACTTAAAGATCTCATCACTGTCAGACCCTTTCCAGGCCTTGTTCCTAGTCATTCAGCATGGCAGCTTCACAGACATGGGGAATTTCAGTGCAGAGACACTATTGGTAGAGATACACAGACCATCAAGGTCCCAGCTATGGTGAGGAAAGGGCTGTCTTTCCTTCATTTATTCTTAGCTACATACAACAGCCCAGCCAGACACTCTTATTTTGGTCATGAACTACACCATGTTGCTTCAAAAATTTCAAGCATATCCTGTGATATTATAAATATGAAGGCTATTATTCTAGAATATTATAAGAATTTAAGCTGATGACATAACCTGATGATCAGTTTGCTCTGATCCTGTTCTATTGTATAAGCAAGAATATGTCAAATTCACATCACAAGTACTTGAAGTGGTCTCTCCTACTTTTCTCCCTCTCCTATTTCTGTTTAGTGTGGTGAATGTGAAGAGGTAGAGAATCCCACTTTAACCATCAAATCACCATCACTAAACCAACCACCAACCAACCAACCAACCAAAGAAATAAAGTCACTGTGGAGTTGACTTAGTCATGCAGATGCAATGAACTGTGTTCAATAAACAGGGCTTTCATGGCTGTGACCTTTTGCAATCAGATCACCAAACCTTTCTTCTTAACTGTATCTGAGTGGTTTTGAATTGCCATTCTTTCAGCCAAGTGGTTTCAGTTAGTAGCTGACTGACTTAGATGAAGTTGGTAACAAGTTGTTCCATCCAGGGAATTCTAAGGAGAATGTAGTTTCCTAACCCACATGAGTTTTCTCAGGGAAGCCTTAATATCCCGATTCCTTAAACTATAGATAAAGGGATTCAGCATCGGGGTAACCACGGTATACATCACTGATGCAATGGTGCCCATCTGTGCTGAGCGGGTTGAGGGAGGACTGAAATAAACACAAAAGGAAGTCCCAAAGAAAAGAGAGACCACAGAGAGGTGAGAGCTGCAGGTAGAAAAGGCTTTCCGCTTTCCCTGAGTTGAAGGGATCTTCAGGATGGTTGAGAAAATGTAGGCATAAGAGATAATCAGGCAAAGGACACAGACCAAGCCTGCCAGTCCCCCGACAGTAAAGATCACCAGCTCATTGATGAAGGGATCTGTGCAGGAAAGACTCAGGAGGGGGTTGATATCACAGAAGAAGTGTGGGATCTCCTGGTCTGCACAGAAGGAAAGACTGTTCATCAGAAGTGTGTGTAAGAGGGAGTGAAGAGCGTTCATGATCCAACATGCAATGACTAGAAGGACACAGAGCCCTGGGCTCATGACTAGAATGTAGTGGAGTGGGTGACATATGGCAACGTAGCGGTCATAGGCCATGACAGCCAAGAGGAAAGCTTCCAGCATCACAAATAACATGAAAAAATACAGTTGCGATAAACACCCTGCGTATGAGATGACCTGATTTTGGATCCATATGTTTGCCAGCATCTTGGGCACTGTGGTGGACACAAAGCATGCATCGGCAAGGGAGAGGTTGGCCAAGAAGAAGTACATGGGGGTGTGGAGTTGAGCATCAGAGACGATGGCCAGAATGATGAGAAGATTGCCTGACACAGTGACCAGGTACATGGAGAGGAACAGCCCAAAGAGGACTTCCTGCTGCTCCTTCTGCTCAGAGAACCCCAGAAGAAAAAATTCTGAGATGCTGGACAAGTTTTCCCATCCCATTTGTCTGGAAGGAGAAAGTTAAATTAATTGTCTAAGGTTGCTAAGGTTTGTATGTTGTTGTTGTTAAGTGCGGTCGAGTCACAGACGACTCATAGCGACCCTATGAAGGAGAGTCCTCGACGCTTGGGTGCCTTTCATCCTCTCTCCAGGTTCATAGGGTTTCAGGAGGCAAGCTATTATGGAAGTGGACGCCACTCCTCCTTCCAATGTTTGTATAGTGTACTTTAAAAAAATCATGCAATTTTTCCAATCTTAATCTTGTAGTTTGAATCATATGCAATTTTTAATCCTGGCTGCTTGGAATTTACAAAATATCAATTTTATGTGCTTCCCCTGAATATTTGCAAATGTCTGTGCTTGGTTCCAAGAAAAGTAAAAGATTTGTTCTCAATGATAGAACAATTTTGACCTAATAATATAAGCTGTAATCCCTCCAATATGTGTATCCCAAAGTATTTGTTAGCCTAGGTATTATGCTGTTCACATGGAAATCTTGGCATAAATAAATTTAGGATTTCACAAGCAAACTCAGTCTTTCACATATTTTTTCCAACTTCAAAAGCTAGGACTGTTGGCAAAATTTTGTGGAATTGGTAAAAATGACACTAATGGTGAAATGATTATCACCACACAGTTGATCTAGCAGAATGTTGGATGTTGCTACTGACCTCTTTTTCATCTTATCTTACCACATCCAAATAATCATCAAATTTTGCTGATTTTACTTTCTCAATTTAGCTTAAATTTAGCCAATTTTCCATATCCCATTTGTGACCCTTATCTATATCAGGTAACAATGATTTCTTACTTGTATTTGGATAATTGTTCTAGATCTGCCATCTGAGCTCCTTATTACAAGAAGAATGAGATTTATGCAAATTACAATTTTGCTTTTTTTTCTCTCTTGAGAACTCCTTAAAAAAACTCCCCATTACCTCTCAGGGTAAATTCTGAACTTCTTAACATGGCTAGGTGATCCTTGGTCATCACTGGCACTTATTATTAAAAACTAACCCCATCTTCCACCTACCTTTAAGGTTTCCCTTCTCCAATTATATTAAACCGTTGAGTTATGGGCTTTGATTTATGTTATTTTACCGCTGTCTTCCCCAGTACCCCAGAATCTTTTTACTTTCCCGTTCATCAGTCTATGCCAAACATCAAATCTCAGCTTATATATAGAAAACTTTCACTTAAAACAAACTCATGTTTATACCCTTCTTTGTACTTGTGTCCCCATACCTCCCTCTAACCCATCAAGGGTCATCTGGTTTGTAACTGCCTGTTTTACTGTCTGTGTTCTCCATTTCTACTGAGTGTGTTATGGAGAAGACAGAGAAGGCATTTATCTCATTCTCCTCTGAAGTCTGGTGTTGGCCCAGAGAAACTGGTATAATATATGCTTAGTGAATGGCTGTTATGTGAATAAATGAAAAAAAAAGGAAATAATATTGGACAGAGATACTGGGTCATTCCTGGCCACAGGAAAAGGTCAGAAACATCATGGTTATAAAAAAGACAAATAAAACAAGTGAGTAGTATTTCCACCAAGAAATTAACCCACAGAATCAGATTTCTCAGATGCTCCCTCCCCAAAGTTAAACATATTTTGTGAGTCTAGCAACCCTGTTTGCATCTACTAAAGTCCTGGGTTGACACAATTGCTACAATAATGGTCTTAAGTGCAAGAGAGATTGTGAGGATGGTGCAGAATTAGACAGGAATTGGACAGTTTTGCTGTACATTTTGAGTTAGAGATGACTTGATGGCACCTAACAATAATAACAACAAAACTCTCCTTGAATTTGTCTGTCGTTGAACTCTGACTTAATAGAGTCAAAAGCCTCGCTTCTAATTTCTTCACTGCTTCCTGAGTCCCAGGCTAATTAACTTGCTTCTTCCCTCCTTTCCCACACTTCAATTCCAACTTCCAGGTCATTTCTTGCCTTAGGACTACTCAGTACTTCATTCAAATATGTAATCCTTTAAATACCATATCATTCTTCCTTCTTATTTTAACATTTTTCTAGCCGGGTGAAATATAACCTTCACAGCTAAAAAAAAAAAAAAGGCAAAACCCCTGTCTTAGGAGAGAAAACGTTTCTGTGGTTGGTTCATTATACTTTTTGGCGAACCCAGTTGGTTTGCTCTTGGAACTCAAGTTTGAGTTAAAAAGAGAATTTGAACTCAGTGAATAAATGTTTTCCACTGATGAGAAAATAATTCTATGTGGAAGAAATTAGTGAAGGTTAAAACAAGAAACAGACTAAAATAGTGGTTAGGACTGAAGTGATCAGTCCACATACCAAACGCTTCTCAAATTTAAATTTCTCTTTATCTAAATATTTACTAGTCGGTTCACTAAAAATATCTCTGAGAGTGTTAGCAGGAAACTAATAATGGTGACTACTTGCTAGAGGTATGGGACTTGGAGAGGTGAGATACAAGCGTGGAAGAGCCATTTTTCAAGTGTTTCTTTAGCATGCATTGAGGTTTCAGCATGTAAGCACACTGCTTATTCAAAAGAAAGAAATTAATTAAGGAAATTTTACCCCAGATTTAAATTATGGACTTACAGAATGTATATAATGAAGGGCAAGGAAATACAATACAGTATCTGTAAGTAGCAGTTACAGAAATAGCAAAGCAATTTGTATGTTTGATTCCATAGTCTTCTGATGCTTTAATTTGGTGTGTGGGCTTGAGTGCATGTGTTCCCATGTTTATGTATGTGCTTGTATGTGCGTGTGTGTGTGTGTGCTGAGGGTAGGGGTTTGGTGAAAAGAATTATAATTACCCAGCGAAAAGTCACTGTTAATTTCTGTGCTCTAGTCTCTATATCTTTTTAAACTTTTAAAAATTTTATATTGGTTTGCTTACAAAGTTCATACATATGTTTCACACTATTCTTCATTCACATTGTGCTTCATTCCCATTCATTATATTTTATAAAATTAAACACCACTGGACTATGCCCACCATTACTCTTTTCAGACCCCCATTGGATCCTTCCCATTTCCTTTACCTCTTTCTCCACCCACCAAATTGTGCAACCCTGTGGTTTCTCCCGTACCCATCCTCACCCATCTGCTCCTACCCTTTCCTCCCTTGAGATCCCATACATGTTTCACTGTCTGTATTAAAGACCTACATCTCTGCCCCTTTGGTTGCTAAAGTAGCACAATATTATCACTGTTGTTACAAAACTCTGAAGAAAGGCTGTGTGAGAAGTGGACTCTTAACTCATCACTGACTGGAGTGGGTGGAAGGGAAAAGGGGGAGAAAAAGAGTTAAAAAAGAATTGTGTATCTCCCTGTTCATTTCCTTACCTGGATGTTCTCAGCCACTCACTGAAGCTGTTACTGGCTGACCTCCGTTTGTCACCGTGAGTGACAAGAAAGTGACAAGAAATTTTGTTAAAAGCACCAAAATGAAAATTACTTCAGGCTATGAATGATGATTACTGCCATCACTGAATCTTGCCAATTTCTCCTTTGGTCTCACAGTAATAGAGACACTTTCTATTTTTGTCCACTCTTAGGGTAAGGGAACAAGGAGGCCAAGTCAAAACTTGGATCATGCACCATATGTTATCCCTGGAAGTTGCACTCACAGAACGTCACAGGGAGCCTTATCACACAGCCTCCCTTTTCTACTTTGTCAGAACTTGATGCTAATGTCTGCGCTTTCCCTGACTTATCAAAGCCCGTGAGAAATATATCCTCATAATTTCATCAGTGCCCTGGAATTAGATGTGGGCTGGACCAGTCTCAAGTTCTGTTAATTGAAGATAATGAATTCTGTGAGGTACCAGATCCCAAGAGGCCTGAGAACTCAATGCTGTGTCCCTGATGTGTGAACTGGTCTAAAAGAGCTGAGGTGTTAGGGACTAAGTAGAATTGCGATATTCTATCTATCTATCTATCTATCTATCTATCTATCTATCTATCTATCTATCTATCATCTATATCAGCAGAGCAGAAAAATAAATGAAATAAATTTGGTTGCTTCATTTAGCCTTGAGATCGCTATATATACCTATTTAACCATCCATCCATCCATCCATCCATCCATCCATCCATCCATCCATCATCTATTTTTCATCTATCTACCTACCCACCTACCTTTGCTAGGAGGTACAGGGAAAGACCTTTCACATCATGAAAAATGTCAGACTCTACTGCCCTATCTTCCTCTGGAGATAATAGTTTGAGGTCAGGTTTAAGTTATGCCAATGTTATTTTTACCATTTCTAGATATTTCATATCATGTAGATGCCAGCAACCTGAATCTTATCCTTGCAGATGTTAGATAAACACATTTTGGGGGATAGGAAGAGATTGAAGTAAACTTGAACAAATAGAGTCCCTTCTTTCTCCTGTAGAACTGGCTATCTAATAGTCTCTCTTCTCCTGGGGGATGTTGACTGAAAGACCTGAATATCCCATGACTACCTAAAGAACAAACAAGGCTGTCTTAGAAGAAGTGCAACCAGGGTACTCCCTAGAGGCAAGGCTGGCGAAAACTTTATCTCACACACTTAGAGGATGTCATCAGGAGGGGGCATTCTTTAGAAAAAGGCATTATTCTAGGCAAGGTGGAGGGAGGATCATAGAAAGAGGAAGATCCTCAACAACATGGGTTAGACACTTGAGAGTGTTGGAGATGGTGAAAATGGTGCAAGATAGGACAAAGTTCTGTTCTTCACAGGGTCCTTATGAATTGTAATTGACTTGACCCATAACAAAGCAATAATCCCTGGGCCATCTAATTAGAATATACAGATAATGAAGAAATAGAACCAATGAATGACCAGCAAATAGGAATTTTAAAAAAAATCTCTTTGGAACAATATCTAATTTCTTGTGTGTTGGAGCTGGTATGACACATTCTTACACAGAAATTTATTGGTTTAAGTATATTATTTTGCTTGAAAAACCACTGTATGACTACATGTTAAAAAAAGTCTAGTTTAATTATTTTATGTCATGAGCAATGGG